GGTCATTTAGTTGTCTCAACCAATCAAATTACTGTATTTCTTAAAGTCGGGATTTAATCATAGTTACTTTTTGAAAAAGCAACNCACTGATTTTTTCAATTTCACTTAATAGATAATTTAATTTGACTAGTAAAATTCTTCCATTAAATCAGGTGAACCTTCATCACTAAAATCTTCTTCATGACCAATAGGATGAAACTCTGTTATCTCTAGACTTAAGCGATGAATTTGATCCAAGGTGTGGTCACTAGTAGTAGGAAATAACACAGAATCAACAGCTGAAATATAAGACATAGTAAAACACATTATTATCAATCTGCAACTGCAAGCTTAAAACAGATTATCGTGTACACAAATAGCTGAAAGTTGGACAAAGTTGGTGTCTGGGTGGTTTCAAAATACACTTTGAAAGTTTGGTAGTTTTTTCAAAATTTGCCTCCATTATACTACAGCCTTTTTTTTGGTTCATTATGATGCAGGAGCAAAATAATCTGCAGATAAATTTGATTCAATGTATATGCCAAATCAGGCTTAATGATTTTATCCCAACTGGCCAGTTATTTCCCCAAGCTTACCATTCTGACAGACAAAGGATATTTAAATTGTAGCTTACCTTGCATTTGATGCTTGATTCTTCTTAGATTCTTCAAGATGCTAATGAGTTCATTATTAGCTGTTTTCCAGGCTGGGAATTGACTTTTTTCTGGTTCTTCAAGGAAATCATCAATAGGTGATGGTGTGACTGAGATTTTATCTTCATCTTTAAGTTTCTCTACTGTTTTATCTAGTTGAGATTTTAACTGTAGTGATAGTTGGTAGATTGACGATACCAATAATGGATTATATGACTAAAAAATACCATAAAAATATAATAAGTTACTAAAAAAAGTTCCTATCAGTACATGGTTGGTGGATGGAACAATAAAATAGTATTCTGGATCTCAATTGTTCCAATGTTACAGCCCCTCAAAGTTTGGAGTATTTTTGAAGTAAAATTGATCAGTTTTTCAGCTCTAGTTTTTCACAAAAAAACAACTTAAAAGGAGAGGTGTGCATTTTTATTTGACAAAATATACTTAAGTCTTAGAAATGGAATTTTTCATCTAAACCAATGTTCACAGCTCAGTCAAAAGTTGAGCCTTCAATTCCATGTGTGAAGAAAATTATCCATGTTTGGATCTTATAATGATGACTCATCATTTTAAGATACTCTGTGATATATAGAAAAGATAGATAGAAATAGTGAATTTAAAGGAAGTATGCAATTTTTGTACATTTCTAGTACTTCTGAAGATTATTTACATATATTCAAGACTAAAATCAACCCCCCAAATTGGTCCCTTTAAATGACATCATAATTTGTTTTGATAAACAGAAGATGATTTTGCAGACAGAAAGTTCAAACACAGTGAACACAACAAGCACAAAGTTTCGAATGCTGAAAAATTAACCCCTACTAACCTCAGTGCGGTGTAATCCATTTTGTTGAACATCTTGATCTGGCACTGTATCAAATGTACTGCGTCTAATTCTCAAGGAAGCTGAACGCTGCAGAGGTGACATATTTCTCAGATCTTTGGGTGAAGGAGTTGAAAAGGCTGATTTATGCATACAACTCCTACTTAGTTCCTACAATTATAACATGAATATGATTGTAAAAGTTGGTGAACCACTAAAAATGTACAAAACCTGTGGTCCTATGTGTACAACACAAACAGTAGCTGAAAGCTTACATCAGCCCACATCTGCAATTTTAATTGAAGCTATGGTTGATCTTGATCAATTCAAGGGCTAACATTGATGAAATAAGATTTAATCAAATGTAGTATTTAGTCAAAGGCATTTGTATTGAAATGTCTAAATGATTTGTGGTCTGAGATGTACGTAACTAAATAAGTGGTGGTCTGATCCTTAAGGGAGATAACTCTTTATATTACTTGTTAAGACTTCCGGTCCACGCTAGTATGTGAAAAGATTGTAGGATTTTCTATGTATATTTTCTCGAGTAAAGCAACTATATTTTAAACAACAACGAGTTTAGTCTCTTTCATAACAGTATTCACAAGTCAAGGGCAATAACTGTAGTCTCTATCCACACAAGCAGTGACAAAAATAATGGGTAGTACTTGATTGGAGAGTTCTGAACAGTTCCGTCTGTTCCAATTCTGCATTTTCTCAATTTTGTCTGCACTTACTCTGTTTCAACTTATTTTTTTGATTGGTTGATTCCATGAATCCAGAACTCACCAATCAAACGACCCCGAGAACTCATACATACCTTCATTGATCCTAGCCCACAAAGTCTTC